GGGCAGGGCCGGCGGGGAAGCGGCGGCGGTGCCGGCTCTCATCAGCATCACGGCTCTCTCCAGCGATGACCTCGCCGAGCTCTGAGCCCCGCCGAGCCACACGGAGCTGGCAGCTCGCAGCAGCCGCGCCGGGGACTCGGGACATCAGCATAATCGCTTTAAAGGGGGTAGGGGGGGAAAAAGCCCCGCGGCTCTCCACATTATCATTGGTAATGGGCGGAGAGGCGTTGGGAGAGGGGGGAATGCGGTTTTGTACATATGAGACATGAGAGGGGCCAAACGGAACGCTGGCAGGTAAATCCATGAGGATGTGAGCATCTTCCCAGCAGGCAGGAATGGCTGCAGCTCCCTCGGGCACCCACCAGCAGCCTGGGGACTGACAAGTACAAGGGGATTCATGTTGGTTTTTTTTTCCCCCCCATAGAAGGATATTCAATTCAATTTCTTATAGATTTCACTACACATTCGGTGTTTCTCTTCCTTGGTAGGAATGCCACTACTCGAGGAGCTCAGTCACAGCTCGTGGCCTTTAGACCAGTCTTGCTAGGACAACATTAAAACAGAGGGGCAGATCTCACAGTGCCTGCTTGAACACTGCAGCAAGGACGAGCTTTGTCCACACGAAGGCTCCTCAGATTGACTTTGATTCTTCTCCACCTCGAGCTGGTGTCTCACATCTTGCTGTCTCTGTCCAAGGGCACCTCGCAGTTCAGCTGCGGCTCTGCTCAGAGCACCGATTCAGTAATGGGAGCCTCCTTGCATTGTTTTAGCCACATAATGCTAAAAATGGAAGAACAGCCCTCTTGTTTTGGTAGATGTTGCACCAGCCTGAAAGAGGAGAAAATGAGCTCATGAGAAGGGTGGGTTTGTAAAAGCAGGGTGCTGTTCCCTGGCAGGTGTCAGGTCTCACTCTCAAAATTGTGCAGTCATTTATTGCTGGCATGGCTGATGTTCGATGGAGTTTCACTTGGGTATCACGGAGGATGGGTGTTATTTCACATCTCCCTCGCAGCAGGGGTGAGGTGCCAGCTCTTCCCTTGCCCTGCAGCCCGTGGCAGGGTTCCCTGAGCAGCTGTGTGGGGTGGGCACGCTGGGCACTGACCCTGGCAGTGCACGGGGCTCCCTGTGCCAGACACTCGGAAATGGATTTTACACAGCTGCAGATTCTGGGTGGTAAAGTGAAGCTGAAGGATTGTTCTGCCTTTTTTACAGCCAGGAAATCGGGATTTCTCATAGCCACTTCAGCCTCTGTGTGATTTTTACAATTTATTACCTGGCCCTTGACAGAGCTAATGTTGTCACAGGAGGTTTTGAAGTCTCCTCAGGGCTGTGGTAGGAAAATGCCTTCTCTGACACGCCAGGGATGGACTGTGGGGCTGGGAATGATGCTGCAGTGCCATCAGCTTAGCTGAATGTACCAAGGACCCAGATCCAGCTCTTTTCAGACAGTTTGGCACAGCACAGATCTTGTCAGAGGTGTGAACTACAAGCCCCACAGGCAAGTGACATTCTCTGTAAGCTCATGGCTGCAGGGCTGCTTATTCTCAGAAGTGTTTGTAAACTGAGATTTCTCTTTTTAAAAGCATAAACTGTCTCATACAGACCAGAGCTTGGACGAGGGGAACTGCAAATGTCAGGGCTGCCCTAATCCTGCACTGACACCTGTTTGGTCTTTGTTTGACCTTTGCTTGTCCTCACACACTGTTCCAGGTTGTGGGAGCTGCTTCCCTCAGTGTTCCTGATGGGATGGGGCCATCCCCAGGGATTGGCTTGTCCAGGGCTCAGTGTTTAGCCTGGAAAGATTTCCACTCCGAGATGGCACCAGAGGTTTGTGCCTCTCTGCCCCACGATTTGGCTGAGAAAGCTCCTGAGCCTGCTGAGGGCATAAAGCCACCTCAGCTCTAAGCTGGAGGGGAGCCCCTTGGCTCTTTCCTTGGAGCCCAGAGCCCTAGCCCCAATGCCAGAACACTGTTCCAGCCTCTGGAAAGGGCTATCCCCAGCAGCAGTGGGACAGAGAGAGTGTGAGCAGCAGTTCTTGGGCAGCCTGGCACGGTGGGAAGTCAGGGTGGGGAGCACAGACACTTTCAGGCCTCGATCATCGTGCCAGCTCCAGCCATTGTCCCAGTTTGTCCCCGTGTCACGGGGACAGGCACTGCTGGCAGTGCTGCCCTGAGGGACTGGCAGTGCTGGGAGCTGCAGGAGGCTCAGCAGGATGTCCAGACCTCTGCATTGATCAATTCTGGGAACTGTTTGGTTTTTCCATCAGGAGGAGCTGATCCAGCCTGGGAACACAACTGCCTCTGCTGGGTTTCACATGCTTCTGCCTTCCCAGGTGGAGCAAGGCAAGGGCAGGCTGCCAGGGGTTTGTGCTGCTGCGTGCTCCTGACGTTGTTAGTTAAAATTGTGCGTTTTTTAACAATATCACCATGTGGGAAAACATGTTGGGGTTGTTTTTTTGGGAGGGGGGAAGGGCTGCAGTTATGTACGCACTCCAGCCACCTCAAAAATGAAAACAGGTGCAAATGGATGTCAAATGTTTCATTGCAACCTTTTGTAACTTTTCAATACGAAGTGACCTAAATAAAATTTTACAAAAAATACAATTTTAGCGATTTCTGCGCCGGCGGCGGCCGCGAGAGGGCGCTCGGTGTCCACCCCCACAGGTGTGACCACGGCCAGGTACTGACACCTGCAACACACCCAGATAAAAACGGTGTTTAATTTATAGAGGATGCCACTCATTATCCTATACACTCTATTTTATCTCTCTATACACTGTATTACAGTTATAGAAGCGCCTCTGAGTGTATATAAAAAAAAATATATATATGCACACTATATATACACACCCCCAATATATATGTATATACAGATATATATTATATGCTTATATATATGAATGGCATTATATGAGGAACTACAGTGCAGGAGAGTTATGGGAGGGGTTGTACATAGGGGACGCTATAAGGTACAAAGTAAATGGTTGTCTATAGCTCTGTAACACACTATCTATACATATAAAAACATTATATATATATAGTACTATAATAATAATAAATATTCTATAAATATTTATACAAATAATAATTATACAGTATATTGTGTGTCTGTGTATTTGCATCTATGTTATATACATATCTTTCTCTAACCTCTATATATTATATATAATATAAATGTTATAATATGTATTTATATATATTTATTATATAATATATATTTATTATATATACATATGCATGCACATATATATAAATATATATGTATATTATATATATTTTATACGTGTATTATATATATTATATGTACATTATATATATTTATATGTATATTATATATATTATATGTATATTATATATATTTATATGTATATTATATATATTTATATGTATATTATATATTTTATATGTATATTATATATTTTAAAATATATTATATATAAAATATATAAAATAAATCTATGATAATTTGGGCCAAGCACTGTGCGCTCCGCTCCAGGGTCAGCTGAGCACACAGGCCAAAATATGATAATAACATACATATTATAAAATATATAAAAATATTATATATTTTTTTGTGTCAAAGTGTCCTTCCAGGTGGAAAAAAAACCTCCAAAACTCCACAGTCCCAGCTGACTGTGTGTATCCAACAGGATGTTTTGGCTGCCCCATTCTTCACCCATTTGGAAATGCAATTGCATTTTCTTCCTCGTCCAGAAGTGCCATAACTGGGTAAAACCCAGCCCCTGAGCATTCCAGAGGCAGAGTGGTCGGGAGTTGATGAATGGAGGAAACCCTTCCCCCTTTCCAAACCATACCAAAACCTCCATATTTGGGACTTTCCATCTTTAAGAAACAACCAGCAAATCAGAAGTGAATGTAACCATCGGGTGAGAAGGGAGCAAATCTCCCAGAGGAGTGAAAATTTTATTCCTGTTTGTTCTCTGAGCTGGCTTTGGTGGCATGAAGTGCTTCTATGGCCTGACAGATTTTCCTGGCTACACGGATCAATTCAGGCAGGACAGAGAGACTCACGGCTGTTTGTAAAAATGGATGCTGCCCAAAGAGGAAAAAAAGAAAGAAAGGAACTGTTACTTTCCAAACTCAGTTTTTCTCAAGAGGAAGCAGGGTTCCTCTGGTTACCAGAAATACACATAAATAGGACTGAGGGGACTATCTCCACCTGAGTCTTAATATTCAGGACCTTGCTGTCAGAGGCAACATGTCCCAGTAATCCCATTAATCAATTAATCAAGGTGTCTTCAGCCTGCTGGGATTTTGGCCCTGCCAGCACTCAGGGCTTTTTTTTAATTTCAGGAAACTCAGAGGACTCACTTAGGTTCTTTTTTTCTAAAGGTAGGGGCTGCTTTAGTTGTGAGTGAGAGCTGTTCCGCAGGGAACTCCAGCTCCTCCAAGAAATGTTGATCCCTTTATGGTTTAGGCCTGTGCTGTTCTGAAGAACACTGAGATGCAGGTTTTCAGCACCAAGACAAGGACAGCCAAATCTCTGACTGCTGGGACTGGGTTCCTCTTCCACCAACCATGTTGGGCCTCTGTGCCTGGCACCATTCTACTGCAGTTCTCTTGCCACCAGCTAAAACTGAATGCACTCCCAAAATACAACATGGAAATGATCAGAGGGTGGATGGAACACCTTTCCTCTGAGGAAAGGCCAAGAGAACTGGGATTGTTCAGCCTGAAGAAGAGAAGGCCCCAGAGAGACCTTATTGCAGCCTTTCAAAACTTCAAGGGGACCTGTTTTTAGGGCCTGTTGCAAAGGGACAAAGGGTAATGGTTTTAAATGAAAAGAGGAGATTCCAGTTAGGTCTAAGGAAGAAATTGTTTATGCTAGGGGTGGTGAAACACTGGCACAGGCTGCCCAGAGGGGTGCTGGATGACCCATCCCTGAAAACATCCGAAGTCAGGTCGGACAGAGCTCTGAGCAACCTGATCAAGCTGAAGATGTCCCCATCATGGCAGGGAGGTTGGACCAGATGGACTTTAAAGGTCACTTCCAGGTTAAATTCTTCTATGATTCTACTTTGAAAAGCACCCAGACAGAGGATTAACAGGAGAGGAGGGCACCTGGAGAGGAGAATTTCCCCTGCAGCCACTGGCCCTTTACCTCCAGGAGCTCCCTGGCTGTCCAGCGGATGCTGGGGTTGATGTCCAGGCAGGAGTGCAGGAAGGCGTGGAACAGAATGGACATCTTGCTGGGCATCCTCAGAGGGGGGTACCTGTTCTGGGCGATCAGGCGCTGAGCCTGGGGACAGAGGAAGCACAGGACAGCCACTGACCACCCCTGGGGTGACAGCTCCACTGCAGGCCCCTCCTGGCTTTCTGATTGATGCTTCTCCAGGGGCTGGGATTAACACTTGAGGGTAAGGAAGCAGGGAATTGTCAACCTCCAGAGCAGGGATGATAGTGACCCTGAATGTAACTCAGCTGGTCAGAGCATGGTGCTGATAACCTCAGTGCCCAGATGGGCCATTCACTCAGGAGCTGGACTTAGTGATCCCTCCCAACTCAGAATATTCTGGGATCTGGAAATAATTCTCTTCATCTGTGTTTGCTGCCTTATACAAGGTAAAGGTATTCCAAAAGTGGTCTTCCAAGTAAAGCCAGGGAACTTTACCAAAAAGAGTGGAAGACTGAAATGTTCAGAATTGTTGTCTTCTTCAGGAATTTGCTGTGCAGCATTTAATTTGGTTTCCGCTATTAGTCATGAGATTTTATCCTGGCATACATTCCTCCACTATTCCTTGCTCACTTGGTATAAGAACTCATCATTTCATTTTAAGGAATTAGAATCTAAAACTAAAAACTTCAAAATATGTTTGCTACAAGTAGCTTTGCTAAAACATACTTTTAGAAATGTTTTGGGTAGTACATAATTATGGCATCACTAGAATCAGTGACCGTCCCTGAAAGGCACTGGTCAGAATCTGAGAAGACTTCTGGGCCTGCAGATACATTTGTAGTGCTTTTCATAATAATTTCCCAGTTGAAGAAACTTGCTGCTGTCATTCACAGCTGCAGCTCAGAGAGAGATCAAACAGCAGGAGGAATTCAGGCAGTGCTGGATGCCAAAAAGGCACATTTTTGCATTGGTACACATCACTTCTCTGATGAGATGTTCTGCAGGGACACTTCTGGAAGTGGGCCTTGGTGGAACAATTTCAGGCTGATTTGAGTGGGATTTGGTTCATGGGAGACAAAACATGGCCCAGAATTGCAAGACAGTGATATCTGACAGTGTTTGCACCTTACCTGGGCAGGGCTTTCTTTAAAGTACGGAGGTTCTCCCTCCAGCATTTCAATGGCCACAATCCCAAGGGCCCAGATGTCCACTTGGGTGTCATACTCCTTTCTTTTCAGGATTTCTGGTGCTACCCAGTAAGGAGAGCCGAGCACTGTGCACCGTGTGCTCCGCTCCGGGGTCAGCTGAGCGCACAGGCCAAAATCAGCTGAGGAGGAAAACAAAAACACTGTCAAAACCAGCCTGAACCATGCAACCAAGCACAAAATTTCCCCACTCTATATCTGAAACATGGGGATTCTGTGCCTGACCAAGAATACCTACTCAATTTCACAGATCCATCCATCCCGAGAAGAATATTATCGCTTTTGACATCTCTGTGGATCACATTCTTTGAATGAAGGAAAGCCAGGGCTTTGAGGCACTGAGACAAAAAGCCCATGAGAGTAAAAATTAATTAACCTCATTTCATCACACAAGAAAAGGAAATGGCTCTAAAAGATTGGATTTCTAGGTGAAACACCAATTGTTGATACAGACTGTCCATTCCAGACCCAGACAGAATGGCTGCAGTGGCTGTGCTCTCTCCATCCAGGTGACAAAGGAGGGTTTGTCAAAAAGGAAAACACTTCTCCCTCCATTATGAAGTGGATCACATTTATGTGGGAGGCTGCATGACAAAGGTTTTATCTTGGCCTCAACAGCAGACTTGGAAGTAGCACATTAGTCACTTTTCAGAAGCAAACACCATTTGGGGTGCAATGCTCTCCTTTTAAGCTGAGGGCTGTGAGAAATGAGGCTCTATTTTAATTTGCTATTAGTTTAAAACCCTGCCACCAGCATGTTTGCTTTTACAGCAGTGCAGACATGCTCCAGTTTAAAGAGGCAAAGCCTAGAATGTTAAATTTAAAAAGAGAGTACAACAAAAGTGTAAGAGTATAATAACAGAGTATAAGAAATGCAGTTGTACTGGCAGGAGGCTCACTTAGATGCCCTTTTATTTTACATTTCATAACAACAGCACTGAAACAAAGCTCTGAACACGAAGTCACTCCTGTCCCACCCTGTCCAAGCCATTGGACTCACAAGCAGGGCTCCTCACCTCCCTGCTGATAGCAGCTATAACTCTTTCCTCTATAAAGACTCGGACAAGAACGCTGGTTAAAGTGCCTCCATCCACATATTCCATCACAAGCCACAGGTCTTCATCCACCAGGTAGCTGAGAGAAGAAAACAAAGGCATGGAGATGAGTGTGCACAGCTAAATTACCTTATGGAAAAGACTGCAGGGGAGTTTTGTTTCCAGGTCACTTGCAAATGGAGGCAGAATGAAATGGAGAGACATTCTTTGTAGGCTACAGAGTATTTGGAATTTGTGCAGACTAAATGAGAAAGGCAAATCCATGAAAAAAGAGATGCCTTAGATGGCAAATGAGAAAAAAGCAATTTAGTAACAGCAGAGATCAATCTGGAACCAGGACACTTGCCATCAACTGAGTCATTATCTTAATTTATTAGTTCCACCAGTCACTCCAGGAACAAGGCAACATAATTCCAGAGTTATCTATGGGAGGAGGCTCTGCACCACTGAGGACAAATGTTGGCCAACCATTTGGAAAATCACATAAAATACAGTCAGAAACAAGAAAAACTATTTAAAACTGGCAAATTATGTGGTTCTGCAAATGAAAATTTAGTCTTCCTGGCTTCCACAGCAATGGAAAATGATGGGAACAGCCAAGGGAGATAATTTCTATTATGGTTTATCAGCACTTATGGTTAAGGCATAGAAAATATGATCAACTTGACGAAACCAAACCCCAAAACAACACAGAGGTAATGAACTGACAGGCTGTTGTTTTAGTAAAACATGGCACATCCAGGTTTTTGAAAAGGGGTTTCCAACTACATACACCAGAAAATATTAATGGAGACCCAAGGCCATCTCCTCCCATCCACTAGAGATGAATAGAGAAGTAAGAGCTCCATGTTCTGGCAGTACCCAAAGGGGTTTTCTTAGCCTTTGGCTTGCAGTGTGTGAATGAACATTCCCATGCTAACACCTCAACCACTCACCTGTCTATATAATTGACAATATTGGGATGCCGGTTTTCCTTCATGATCTGGATCTCGTTGACAACGAGTTCCTTTCTGTTCCGTTTGCGGAGAGGCATCTTCTTTAGGGCCACCTGAAATGAAATTGGGGACCACAGACTTGAGAAGCTCTGCTGCAGGAAAGCACAGTGACCATGGAGGGAGTGTTTTTGGAATGATGGGGCTGGGCTGTGATCAGACACCAGAGCTCAGGAAGTGACATGATGACAGCTGATTTCTGCACTTGCCTGTGTGCCACTTACAGGACACTTGCCACAGATATTTTGCCTTCTAAACTCTGCAAAAATTTCCCTAAACTATCACCCACAGTTCTCTGACAACACCCTGCACCCACATTCTTCCTCAATGGCCTCAGTTTATCATCTCTTTATTATCTCTGTTATTATTCACACAGGTTTTGCAAGCAGGATTTTGTGACTGTGAAAATATATCAAAATAGTTGGGAATCCTTCAGCAATTCTATGGGGTTTGGCCATTATTTCAGCAACTGCTGCTGGTCTTGGTTGCATAACAAAGCAAACACATGCATACATGATGGATAAAATCCCACCCTAAAAGATCATAGCAGTTACACACACACAAAAAAATTACAATCCCACAATGTTTCTCAGTTCTTGAACTTCGATTTTGCTATTCCAGCAAGCATTCTTTACCACAGTTCAGATTTGCAATTATTTTCTGGGTTTCTAAAGAAATAACCCATTCTTTGGTATTTTAAGCCTTAATTATGTCCTTCTCTGAAAGATACCACTGCCCCTCTTGCATTTTTTCTGGTGCTGAGTCTGTTTCTGGTACAAAGTCTGTCCAAAATGTGTTTTGCAGGCTGGCATTGCCTTGTGCTTGAGGAACAGCCTGTGCAGGAAAGCTCTGCTGGGTACCAAAGCAGAGGGGAAAGCCCTGAAGAGCTGCACAAGGTGCTGGGGGTGTTGGCACTCACCACATCTCCTGTGGCTGGGTTGATGGCTTTGTAAACAGTCCCGAAACCCCTGGAAACAAAAGAGCAGTGAAAAAAGGAGAAGCAGTTTAGGTGCTGGGAGTGAAAGCCAGCCCAGACAGGAGATCTCTGCTGCATGAAGTGTTTTAAAACCCCCTGGTTCAAAAAGCAGCACAGCAACTCTCTGTCATGCAGGGTGAAGAGAAAATTGAGGCCCAACTTGAAGAAAAAGAGCTGGAGCACAGATCTTCAAAACCTAAGAGCAGGGGGAGGGTGTGCCTACAAAAACTGGAAAATATTTACATTTTTTTCCATTTTGCCTTGTTGTGTTGGGTTTTCCCTTCTTTTTGTGTCCGTGTGTGTATTTTTTTTCCAGGGATGGGGTTTTGTGTGACAGTGTGAGAGTTTATTATTTCACCTCTGGTTTCAGTTGCTAAACCATGTGGTTATACTCTGGCTTACTGAATATTTTTTAAGCAAAATATTTTAAATAAATGCTCTTGAAAACTTCTATCTGACAGCTGTGGGGTAGTAAGGTGGTCTTTTAGGCAAAAAGGTTTGAGGGATGGGAGATCTTTCAAGTCCTGCTCCTTGTTGCAGGCAAAGCACTGCTAGCATCGAGTTTTCTTTGACAGCAACTTCTGACCAAAATTATTAATTCTGATCTGTGCTGAGCTGGGAGGATCCAAACCCACATCAAGTTTGGAGCTTGCCTGGCTTCACACTTGATATTACAGCAGCAAAATGCCTTGTGGCTTGTGGCTTTGTAGGAGTAACTGGGATTGGACTTACCCTCGGCCAATTTTAACAAATTCAGTGTATTTCGTCATGGGGTCCCCCTCGTTCACAATGCCCCCTGAAAGAAACGAAATGCAGGATGTTCACTTCAAACAGACACCACCTTCCAGCAGATCAGAAATGCAGCCCCACTGTCTGGCTGTGAGCCCTTTGTGGGCAACAACAGAGGCAGAGGTAGCTCCAAAGCACAGATGGCTCCACTGATTTTCTGATTTTCTACAGCGCTTTGAAGCGTTATCTTGATGGGAAACAAAGCACCTGGAGAAATCCACAGAAATCAGAAAAGACCAGGTACCAAGCAAGAGTTTGCTTTCTACAAATATTTATGAGAGCTGGAACCAGACAGCCTTTATTTTCCTGGGAATAAACACTTCTGTGATTCAACAAAAAGTTTAATATTTCTGAAAATTAAATGCACCTTGGGTTCTGGGTTTAATTTTTAAAAAACAGTGCAAAGTACTTCCAGGAGAGGAGAGGATCTTCCCAACTTTCAGCAGTTTGCCAAAAGATTGTCTTTATGATTTTAAAGAACAGCATCTCATGTTATAATCAATAATGATGGGGTTTTAGGATCCAGGACCCTCATCATGGATTACCAGGCTAAATTCTAATGATAACCTTTCCTGTGCCATTTGAAGACACTGCTTGTCTTCACTCTAACAAATTTCTGTGAAGTATTTTTGCTCTGATGATTTGTCAGGGAACCAAAGAAAATTTAGGAACCCAAATATCCTGCTTGATTTGGCCATCAGCACTCAGGAGTTCAGCAGTTCATTCACTAGGTCAAAGCACCTCCTGCTGAATCAGAAACCATCTCTGCTTTTGCCTTCAGCGCTGACGGAGGTGTAGAGAAACAGAATCCAGTCTGAGCTGCCCTTAGGAATTCCCAACAAGAATTCCTGCTTCCTCTGTCCCTTTGGTGGAGCTAAAGCTGGGACACACACACCACACACCACACAAGAGGCACACCACACGTACTCAGTCGCTCCAGCAGTTCCTCTGTCAGCTGGAATTTCTTCTGTGGCCGGACTCTGGGGTCTTCCATTGTGCTCCTGCTGCTGAAGGTGCCAGGCAGGAGAAATACATCTTCTTCTGTACCTTCAGCTCCCAGCAGAGAGCTCATGTAGATCTGTGATGAGAAATTAGTTTATGCCAGGAAGGGAGCTTGCAGGGATCCCCTGAGTTCGTATTCCAAATGCAAAACCTCAGGAAGATGCTGTTGGCCACATCCAGTTCTCAAACTGTTTTTTGCTGTCCACATCACAAACTGAATGAACAAAAACCAAAGGCTGGTTTTGCACAAGCTCATGGCCAGTTTCATGTTCAATTTTCATGGATGTTCTCAAATAATTGGTGCAGAGGGGCAGGTACATCCAGGAGACAGTTTGTCCTGTATCCTACAAGGGAAACCAATGACTAAAAGGGAAGTTCAAAACCAATTTTCCAGGTGCCAGTGGCTGGGGTGAAGCACAATGTCATGGCAGGACTCCAGCCCTCAGCACCTCCCAAATAGCAGCTGCTGTCTGACCAGAAACTTGCAGCTCTGAATTGCACCAATGGTAACCAAAGCTGGCACTTACTGATTCTGCTGTAGGAACAGGTGCAGATTTCGTATCCACCTCCTTCTCATTATCCTTCTCTCCAAGAAGGGAAGAAGCCAGCTGAGGTTCTGGTGGCAGTGGTGGGGTCTGGGGACAGTCCATAACATGAGTGAGTGTCTCCATAGTTACACACAACTTTCACCTGCTTCAAAGCCAGAAACGGATCTGGACACACACGTGGTCCTACAGCCTCAGTTCTCTGTTACACGTGTCACAGTACAATTTAAATATCTATAAATTATGGGGGGGTTGAAACAGCCCCAGCTGCTGTTTCAGGGGCAGAGCATTACATCAAATTCCCCAAATTTGCTGTGTTTCCCAACTGCTTTAAAGCTGACACAAAGGCCAGTTAGGGAACTGAAGCAAATCAAAGGCACTGTTCCACACCTTCACACCTCACTGGTGTTCTATTCAAAATGTTTAATATTAACCCTAATAAATTTGGCCAATAATAATGTGGATTCCTCTCTCTAGGATTGTTACTGCAACCCAACATTTATTAGCATGGATTTTTATTATAAACTTCCTTTCAATGGCTCCAGTGAGTTACATTACCAACTATAACCTTATTTATGTTCAGCTATATATACAGCTGTATTAAAGATAAATCATGAAACTTGATAGAAAGGGAATTCTAAGTTGTTAAAACTAAATTAAAATGGAGCAATTATACAATATTGAAAATTGCTGTGAATTCAATATTCCACCACGGCTGGACCCACAATCTTTCCCTGAAAAAGCAGACTTTCTTCTATTTAAAGGCTTTGAACAGAAATTGAGGGAACAGCCAGGGATCCCTTTGCTGCTGCTGCAAAACCAGACATGGACATTTTTTCAGGCTGGCACCCTGTTGGAGCAGGCAAAGCTCACTCCCAGCTTGCTCCACAGTTCTTACACTCCAGGATGTCAAAGGATCCTTTCCCACTCACCAAAGGATGGGTTGCCCTGCGTCCTTGATTACCTCTGGATAATTGGGTGATCTGATCTGCAGTAGGCAAGAGAAAATGAATCAGATGCTGTTAGAAAACTGCCTTTTGTGGGGAATCCCACATGGAACAAGTCAGCCCAAATAAGAGAGCATTTTTCTTTCACATAATCCCTCCAGGAACAACAGCTCTTTTCCACAGTAAGCTACAGAACAGGACAAAATACCAACTTCTTTTTCTACATTTTTCTGCCTATTTTTTGTGCTTTGTGTTTTCCCAGTAAATAAATAAGAACTCAGTCAAGAAAGGATTCTGCTCTTCTCAAGAGCTAAAGCAGCTTTGCTATTTTTTTTCCCCTATTAATAAGTTGTGTATGTTGGTTCTCTTTAGCTTGCTGAAAATGTTTTCTAGAAAAGCTTTACCAAAATCTCCCTTAGCCATGTGAATTCCATTCTGACACTGCACAGGAACATCTCCTGGGTTCAGGAGCACACACTGTTGGGAAGTAACATTTTCTTATGAAGGTCATCACTATTTTAGCACAGGTTGTCAGACAAATCCTTTAATCATGGAGAAAAAAGATGTTTTCCCTCAGTTCTGAAGATAATTGCACTCTTCTTAGAAGCACTTCTGAAAAGCTCTTCCAGTGCATTTTTTGAGTTGGCTGAAGCAGCAAAGTGAGGGAATTACAGACTCCCCAGACTGCTCTGTGTAGGGAATGGAACCCCCACAAGGTTCCCCACATTCCAAATGCTCTCCACATCGAGACACCCCGTTTAACAGAAGCTGTTGACAGGAGCTGTACCAAACTAATGGCATCTTACTGGCATTTTTGTTCCAAAATCAGCTCAGTTCCTAAGGGGGAGCATAAAGAACACAGTGACCCCAAAGCCAGATATCCTGCACCTAGGGAAAAGCACTACTTACTCCCCAGATGAGCTGTCACCAGCCAGGGTTTATCTGGATGAAAATACATTGCAGATGTTGCAGACAGAAAATCACATGCTGCGACACAGATTTGCCGGATCATTTTTGCAGAGCTCTGCTAGAACTTGCAGACAAGCATAACACAACAGTCAGATAAAGCCCTTGCTGGTTTGCAGACAGCCCTCTGAGAACTCCTGGAGGAGAAGGATCCTCCTGGAATGCCAGCAGAAGGGGGGCATTGAGGAGTTCTGGACTGCAGGAACGGTGGTGTCCTGTTGGCACTGCAGGGACTTGCCAATCTCTCAGCGACACCCCAACAGCCCCTGATGTCACAGTGGCAGCAGCTGTACTTTCCCACTCTGGAATGGTTCCAGGCTGATTCTTCACCAGCTGGATGTTCAATTTTGCTCAGTCTGGAGCCTGACATCCCTTTATGGTAGTAAGATATCAACCTTCCTCCTGATGCAAAACTCTTATTTCTGCATGAAACTCACCTGGAAATCAACTCTGTGCTTCCATGGAGTGATGATTTAAGCCTTAACCCATTTTCCTGGTGATTCTTTGATTCCATAACAAAATTCTTCTCTATTGGCTGACAAAACAGTGCTTTCAGGGGCTTTGAACTGGACTTCTGATGCTCAGTAACAAAAACATCATGCTGAAATGATCTCTGCTGTCTGACTAAAGGGTAAAGCCCACCCTGATGAAATTAATTTTCAGCACACCAGGAACACTGTGGGGGAAAGACTCTGCCTCTCACAATCCTAACAGAGTTGCTAAGGATTCTCCTAGTCAAGCTCCTGTAGCTCTGCTGTCAACATACAGAAAACAGAGCTTGGAAAACTCCTGATGCCCCTGCAAAAACATATTCCCTCAGATGTGAGGGAACCCTGCAGGATCAGCTCCCTCAGTGGACATCCAGCTCTTCAATCCCTCTCCTCTCCAATTTCTGTGTGCACAGAAGATGTGCTCAGGCTCTGAATAGCTTTTCTCTCTGCAACAATGGAGTATCAGGGCCCTTTCAGAGCATAATTTCATCCATTTCTCTCCTTTCCACCCTCTCATGAATTACTAATTTAAAGTGACTTAATATCTATTCTCTATTCCCCTTCGGCTTTGCATATTTTAATTATGCCTCTTCCTAATCCTCATTTTCACGGAACAGACTTAAATAACCCAAATTGCCCCATCAGTAACTGTCTTTGATAGCTCAGTTATTGCAGCTAATTTCCCACTTTTGCCAAACATGCTATTTTTGAGGTTTTTTCGTAACACCAAGTGATCACACACTCTGTTCCACTAGCTTTCACCTACAAACCAAAGTGATCTGCTGCATGAAATGCCATCACCATCAAAATTAACTTTTTTTTTTTTTTTCTCCTTTTTTTAATTGCTGCTAAATCACTTCCTGGAAGATTTTAGTGACACTTTGCAGCAATGTCTTTGCAGCTTTATCTTGGACTGCCAATGGCAGGTGAGGACAGTGGGGCTGTTGGGAGAAATCCTGCTTGTCTCTGCTCAGCCTGAGGATTGCTCCAGTTCAAAACTGAGTGATAAATGTTCTTTGCAAAGTGATTTTTCTGCGAAACACAGAGGCTTTTGTCAAAATACAGTGTTTGCCAAGAGAGGAACATTCACACAGCAATTTTTGCAGTGTGAGGGCATCTTTAGCCAAGACAATAAATAACTACTAGTCTTAGAGAGCTGCTGCCCACAGACTTTCAGGAGTGGCTGCAGCCATGTGCTTCTGTAGCATGAGAAAAAGAGCCCCAGGTAAATCAGAAAGTCCCTAAAAAGGAAACAAGCTCACACTCATAATTAATAATGCAGATATTGGATCTGTCATATTATTTTAGGAGAGAAGGAAAATGTGACCTTGGCATTTTTATTAAGCTTTTCCTCTGTCACTTTGAAGCAAACTCTTGAAGGGTGAAATTCCATTTATTTTCAGGAAATACAGATCCCAGGGGCAGGGGATAGGCAGAGAGGGAGGGGCTGCAGGAGCAGACACACCCTGGAGCTGTGACAAAGGCAGACTGCCAGGCACTGGGCACAGTCTCTGCCTGTCTCATCAGGCTCCTTGTGTTTTCCCAGTTTGAAAGGAAGCTACTTGCAATCCCATCCTTCTCTGCTCCAGGCAGGGCCCAGCTCCAACCCACTGTGTCCTCAGCAAGAGCAGGAGTAAGGAAGGGCATTTGAGCACAAGGCATCAAGTAAAACCAAACTGTCCAGACAAGAAATGCCAGCAATGAAGGTGAAGCAGGATTTTGAGCTGCCCCAGGGCTGCTGGACCACACTTCAGCGTAAAATGTGCTACTGAGATCACCAAAACAAAGAGAGCAAAGCCCAGAGGTGCCATGAGTCTCTGAGGAGTGAGGAGCAGCACCTGCGGATTAACCACAGAAACCACCAGAATTACTCCAGGCGTGGGTTTCACTTTCCACCTGCTTAGACAGGGAGATTTATCCAGCTTCAAGCATGAAAGAGGATGTCATGTTTGCAGTGTGCTCTGCTTCAACAGTGATCTTCTCATCCCCAGCAGTTTCCCTTCTCCACTGGCATCCATCTGTTAGAAAACACATTTGGAAAACAAAAATTACTTAAATAATTAGCACTCGGGAACAATTCCTTGGCCAGAATTTCATTTGGTGTTATGTGAAGAGCTCTTTATGTGCATGTTATCAAGAAATTTGCTCCTTTGGGCTTTCCCACTAGTACAGTGATCTGTATGGAGTGGCTTTACTCTGCCCTGCTTGTGCAGCTGTCCAAGGTTTACTTTTACAATCTGCCACGCTCACACATCCCTCGCATCCGCATTTGGAACGTGTTCCTGCCGAGTTGAGATGGACGGACCGGGGTATCCCAGGCAGTACAACCTCACTGGGATTCCAAATCCTAAAAGTACAACCCGACCACAGCTCGGAGCTGATTCCCACGAGCGCCAACTCGGGAGCTCCCCTCACGCTGCACACCCTGCTCCTGGCACAACTTCCACACCTTACACACGGAAAATGGGAGCCCCAGGTCCTCCAGAGCCCGGTCCGCAGCCTGCAGGGAGAGCTGCCCACCGCGGAGCCTCCCCGCTGTCCCCAGCGCCCTCACACAGCGGGGCCCCTGCTCCTCACCCGTGTCACCCCCGCAGCCCTCCCCTGCCTCCCCTCACGGCCCCCGCACCGCCCGTCCCCAGCGGCTGCCACAGCCGGAGCCCACTCACCCGCTGCCGCCGTGTCGCTGCTGGGGTCGTCGCGCAGCTGCGTCCCGGTGAGGCGGCGGATGCCGGAGCTGCCCGCCTCCTCCAGGGCTGAGAAGGAGAGGGCGAGGTGCGCAGGG